CACTATCTACTTTCCAAGCTCTGATGAATGATGTGCATGTTTTGGCTGATGAAACGCATTGACTACATGTATGGAATTTATTTGACTAATGTAATGGAATAAGCTTTTTATTTCGACTCTTATCTTTGAGTGTGGCACTCCATTTTTCCCTCTGCATCAACACAGTGAAGATACCAACAGCATTAAAAGCCTGACAGGTTTTATGTCTTCTCCATTTAATCCATAACAAAATAGTTGTGGCTGGAGTTCTACTTAAAGGGTTTGGATTACCAAGATTTTACCAGAAACTGTTGATATAACACTTGCATAGGGACGTGCCAGACATGTGTATTAAATATATCTTGATTCTTGAACAAATATTACCAATAGTAAACAAAATGTTTTCACTCTGTTGCACGGCTGGTATTTCTTTACAACTTCTATGTGTTCTTGAATATTCGTCTATACCATAAGCTGACAACATGATCTTCTTGAGAAAAAAAGTTTTTAGGCCACGTTTTACAAAAGTTAACTGTGTAAGTCTGGCCTGAATAAGTTAAAGTCCACCTGAAGCCTTTAGTTTTTTTTGCTTTCGGAATGATAGACAGGCCATTTTATTGCAAATTAGAATGCTAAATGCCATTAACAAATTAATTTTTTAATGGTAAATACAGCTGAGTCTGTTTTTTTTCTTTCACCCTGCTAGACAGTGCTGGAGGGGGTGCGAGGGACTGAGTAAGGCTTTTACATGGTTTATCTAAACTCCTGCTGAATAGGGTAACCTGCTGTCAGTTTAAAGGACCTTGGGTGGAACTAGATGTGGCCATTCACTAGGAGTATCAATAGTCCCAACATCTAAGTGGCTACAGCAGAAACAATGTGCTTATCCAATGGTTCTATGGGCAGGATCAACTGGTAGGTTCAGGGGATAATTACTGTATATAAACAGGAAACCCTGTCTTGCGGGTATGAGCAGCTTATAGCACATATTTAATTTTACAATTGAACCATAGTTCAACATTAACTGCTGGTGAAGACCTTTTTAACAGTGATCAAATAAAAAGACATAAGAAAGCTAGGACTAGTACACAGGCACTGTAAAGCCTCTGAAGGCCAACATACATCGTAATCATTTTGGGATCTAGTTTTCTTTACATTGTTGGTTTGAAAACAAGCTTAAAGAGGATCATCAGTGGTCCCCCAAAAAAGTAAAAGTCATCAGCTACAAATAATGTAGCTGCTGACCTTTTTAATATAGGACACTTACCTCTCCAGGGATCCAGCACTGTCTTTACGCAGTTGGTTTCTTCACCGGTTTTTGGGTCTCCAGCTCTGGCATCTTTACTATGGGAAGTGGGCTTCCTATTATGCATGCGTGAGCTGCACTTTGTGAATGGTCCCGCATATTTCTGGGACCTATGATGTGTCACAGAAAGCTGTGGGGAAAGAGAAGGGGAGGCTGAACTTTCACTCAGATCGCCTCGGCAATCTAAGCGGAAGTGGGAGCAGGTACCTGTGAAAACTGAATTCTTGCCCCCCCAAAACAGTGTTCAAACTTGTTAGAGAGTGGGAGGAGGCAGAAAAGCGGAACTTCCCCTTATGAGTGAAGTTCCGCTTTAAATATTAAGCTTAGTATGGTTTTTTCCTGGACCTTAAAACTTATCAGGGAGCATAAAAATACCCCTGAACCTTAGCTTTACATTAAAAGATATCCAGACCCAAGAAGAATAATGTAATTTGTTGTAGCTCCCCAGTCTTTACATGTGGTGGCTGCATTTTGTTGTGTTTTATCAACTTAAAGCGGAACTTCACCCAAAAGGGGAAGTTCAGCTTGTTTGTATTCTCCCCCTCCAATGGAACATTTGGCATTTTTTTTGGGGGAGGGGGTAGTGAGTACCTTGTCTTGACAGCTCCAACTTCAGATCACCGTGGCCATCAGAGCTGGAAGTTTGGCCTCCCCTCCCCTCCCCAGTATTTGTAGCTTCTGACTTTTAATTTTTTGGGGGAAGCCTGGATCTTTGCTTTACGTACATTTTTTGGAAGTACAGAAAATGTCCTATTGATCCTAATAGAAATCCAGTGGGCTTGTCATTTCCTGTGCACTGAACTGGAATACCAAACAATGTTATCAGCTATCCCAGCCTATCTTCTGTGTACTACAGGTCCTCTCCTCCTTGTTGTTTGAGAGGGATGGGGGGGTGTTTGCAGTCCAAATAAGATCAACAGCTGCTGCTCCAAAGATACAGTGCAGCACTGTCACCCCAAAAGTATTAATGGCAAGAAGGATCACCAGGTAAACATAAAGGAAAGCAAGTCTGAAAAATAGGATGTTGTGTGCAGCCCCACATCTAAAGACTGAAAAGTTGCAATTGTTGTTTGGGGGGGGGGGGGAGCTAGATATGCTTTAATGTTGACTGCCTAATCCTCAGCCCTCAAATCTTGACCATAATGTAACATCAACTCAACTACAAACTTACTTTATCTGGTGCCAGAACCTTTGGTTCCAAAAAGCTCAGAGTTCTGTACCTGGATCTGTTAACAAGCACATTATTTGCCCTAAAAGACAATAAAATTCTTGTTTTTAATAAATATGTGTTTAGTATCTTATTCATGAATTTTGTCTAGCACATTGTTGTCTTTTAATGTGCAGGGAAATGATTTATACAGTACTGTTCAGACTGTCCTTGCTATGCAATTTTTCTCAGACCTTAGCATCAGATGGTGATCTGGTGTTAATTGACCAGCAGGGTGGCAGAACCTGATTATGGGAAGGAGTAGTTGTCTGAAATGTCATGTTCAAGTGCTTGAGTCGTTTGTTCCCATCAGCAGGAATTAAAATACTTGTCATACCCAGCATTACTCACTGCCAAAATGGATTCAATTAGAGCAGTTTATGACAGTGCTCTCCTAAAAATAGCAATTCATAGTCTACTTGCATATATTTGTTGTTGCATTAGCACAGCTGTTAACTGATGTGACACTGAAACTCTATTGTCAATACTTAGACCAATACTAATAGGCTTATTACATGAGTCAGTAGCAAGAGTAATGTTTATGTGCAAAGTGCAGCAATCCATAGTAACCAATCAGAAACAATCATCTGTCTCATTTGACCACAGTATAGCGAATCCTGGTTGGTTGCTATGGGTTATTCTGCTTTTCAAATTACCTATCAGCTGTTGTCAGGGAAAACAGAGAATGCCCAGACGCACATTTATGATTCAATGAATTACCTATCAGCCATGCGTGCGTGCGCCGGAGTCCACGCCGGTGTGCACACCTGTCGCCAGGCAGACTATTTAAACCAGGAGCGGACTGACCATTTGGAAATTTGGTCAGTAGGGGGCCCCATGAGATGCCCCAGGTACTTTTTTCATAGGCTTTTTTGAGTTTGGGCAAGGACACAGGGGCCCCATGATCCCCTATTGCCCGGGGGCCCCATGAGTTGTCAGTCCACCCCTGATTTAAACCACTGCTGCACTGGGAGTCCTTGCCTTCTACCAAGTTCCGTTGTCTGCTGTCTGTTGTATCCTGATCTTGTTGCTGACCTGACCTGTCTTGACTTCTCTTGAACTCCGCCTGCACCGGCCCAGCTTACCCTTTTTACTACGCCTCTGCCTGTTCCCCTGCTATCTGCCTATGGTTACTGACTTCTGGCCTGAACTTTGACTATCGGCTTGCCTGATCCACCCGATAGATCCCGACCTGGCTTGTCTGACTCTGCTTCTTCTCCAGCCTGTGCCTACCACTTGCTACCTACTGTCTGCAGTTACCAAGGTCCTGCTGGAACCTACCAACCGCTGCTCCTGATGACCTGCATCCTCTGCTCACCTGCATCCACAACTGACCTGCTTCCTAGTTGTCCAGACTACCCATCGCAGACTTGCCAGGCACTCGTGCCACTCCTGGTTCTCGTGCCTTCTGTTTGCTCTATCAGAAGCACTGAGCAGAAGCCATCATCTCCATGTCAGGCTCCCCCGCCAGGTACGTGATAACCTGCCTGCTAACAAATGTAAGCATTTCTTTGTTGGTTATCTTTAAGGTGATAACAAAGGTTATTTTTTTAAATTAAAATAAAAAAGATGTTATATTTACCTGCTCTTTGGCAGTCCCCTGTATGATCCCCATTCCTCCGGGTGCCTCCTTAGGAAGCTGGGTGCATTGGAGGCACCTGTGTTCCCATGCTCCCATCCCAGGCTGTGTGCATCTGTAGACACACACAGCCCGGTAAGCCACGCCCCTGCTTCCTCCTGCAGGCGAGTGACAGCTGTATACTGTATAATGTATTTTAGATAAGGGATACCCCTCCTATTGTACACCTCCGGAGAAGGAAATCAATTTCTGAAATGACCTCTTGTCAACAAGTCCCTATGGAAGTTTATTTGTTGCTTGAAGGGACTGTGTGGTACCATTGTATCTATGTGCTGTAATGCTAATGTACAGTATCACCAAAGAAATCAGACAGCTGCAGTTGTTTTAAGATACCATTTTTATCCTGTGAAATAAAGATTTACAAGATGTTTTCTAACACAGTTATATCACTTTCCTGTTAAAGTCCCACTGATGGAGTTGCAAGTGATCTCTCCTCACAGGAGTTTGACTGACAGCAGCAAGAGCCTGTAGTGTCCACCGCTCTCAGTGTCTCCTGTGTAACCAGGAAGTGAGAGGAGGGGTGCTGCAGCCAGGACAACTGGAAAAGAAGTCATGTAAGTGCTTAGGAATGGGGGGTGGGTAGGATAGGAAGTGGGGAGCTTTTTTTTTTTACCTTAACCACTTGTCCTCCAGAGGATTGACCTCCTTCCTAACCAGGCCATTTTTTGCGTTGCAGCGCTGCGTTACTTTAACTGACAATTGCGCGGTCATGCAATGCTGCACCCAAATGGCATTTCTATGGTATTTGATCACCCCTGTGTTTTTATGTTTTTTTATGTTTTGTGATATAATCAAAAAAAGACTGACAATTTTGAAAAAGAAGCTATATTTTTGACTTTTTGCTATTAAACATGTCCAATCAAACAATTTAAAAAATCAAATTTCATCATAAATTTAGGCCAAAATGTATTCTGCTACATGTGTGGCGGGCATTCTGACACTGGGGGGAACTGTCTTGGTGCCACTGACATTCCCAGTGATAGCAATACAGTGATCAGTGCTAATAAAAGTACTGACACTGTACTAATTGCACTGGGCAGGAAGGGGTTAACATGTGGGGCGATCAAAGGGTTAACTGTGTGCTGTGCTTTACACTGTAAGCACACTGCTTTGTATGGCTCTGCTATGCAGAACCATACAAAGCAGTGTGCAGGAGCTGACAGGGGATAGATCTGTGTTGTTTTATACACAGGTCTCTCCCCCATCAGTGATACTTGGTGATCGCTGGGTGCCAGCAGGGAATCACTGGCAGGGACCCGGTGATTGAAAGCCAAGGCCACGAATGGCGGCAAAGGTAGGGTACACATGCCCCCTCTCCAGAAATAAAAAATCACGTATATATATGTGATTTTTGCACCCATGCCGCCCTGTAGCAGTATTTCTGGTATAGGGCGATGCGGAAGAGGTTAAAGCAGTATTAAACCCAAAAGCAAATATTTATTATATTGCAGCTTACCACTTTTTAGATGTGATAGCTGCATTCGTTTTTAGTCCTTCTTTCTTCTGGTGATTCAAACAGATGTTTTTCAAAATCTCAAGCTCTCCAGCAGAATGTATCAGTTTACTTGCATGAGACAATCCATTCACCACTGGCATGGGTGATTAAAATGGTCAGCTTTTCTTTATTTATGTAAAACCTTTATCCCAAAGGGAAAAACATGTTTGCTGTAACTAAATATAAAGTGTTAGCTTGAGTTTGGAATCAATTTGTTATTGTATTCAAATCTGCTAATACATTTACCTTCCCATCCCCCACTCCCCCAGACTGACAATACTGCTGTCTGTTGTGTCCTGTGCTCATTCCTCCACAGTGGTGTCTCATTAATACAGGAGGTGTGTTACTGGTCAGATCACCAGGTGAAAACAGTGAAAAAAGCCAAAGAAAAGAAAACTGATGCAGCCACCACATCTAATGATTGGTAAGCTGCAATATACTGTAATACATCTTTGGATTTGGGTTCAACTTCTTCCTGCCAGCCGCAATCATACAGGGGTGCATTTACCATAAGGCAAGCAAGGAATTTGCCTAGGACAGCATTTCTCAGGGTGGGCAGCACTGCCCCTCGGAAGAAGGGATGGAAGAAGGTACACACGCAGCATGGGGACCTAGTGGGTTCCAAGAGAGCTTGTGGGTTTCATGATGGCATATGCACAGCCCAACTCTTGTTCCTGGGGATGTCTGGAGCTGTAAAGGTGAGTGTCTCTCTCGTGCCATGGCGGATGGTGGCTGGTGTATGGGGGACAGTGGTAGTGGAAGGCTCTCTTGAATGGGAAGCAGGGGTGTTTTTGGTCAATGTCAGGCTCCCTCTGCGGGGGGCGCCGATTTTTTTGTTGCCTAGGGCAGCACAAAACCTAAATACACCACTGCTTGCATATATGCGGCCTCTCAGCGGGTGGGCCTTAACAACGGGAGGCCACATATATGCGTACCTGAAGATAAACAAAACTGTGTCAAGAGAATGCTCTATGTGCTCTCCAGGCACAGGCTAATGGAAAGTTCCCGATCTCTACTTGTGATCAGGAGCTTTCCGATCATGTGACTTCTATGACAGCCAATCAAGGCGGTCACATGGTCAGAAACCCCATCCCACCTCCCGGCATCTGAAACCCCTTAAAGGGCTGGTAGGTGCAGGTGCCAAGGTGTAATACTACTTTAATGCAGAGAATGCAAATGCCACTTTGCAAATGCACTTTAATGCAAATAGCACTTTAATGCAGAGAATGCAAATGCCACTTTGCAAATGCACTTTCATGCAGAGACTGCATTAAGGTAAGACAACATTTTGACTTTAGAACTACTTAAGGTATATTATTTATGCTGGAAAATGTGCTATGTTCATTTTAGGACTATAGTAAAATGAAGGATTGTTTTTTTTTTTTTGCCAAATATTTTTAAACCTAGAGAAAGTTAAAGGGAAAACTAAATACCAAAATATAGTCTGCAAAATGCAAAGCTATGGTTACCTATAACTTTTCAGGGTAAAACCAGCTTTGGCCCAAATGACATGGCTGAATGTTTGGTGATCAGCTGAGCAATATAAAAAAAATGGCTGAAATAATCAATATCAACTATCAGTTGTCAAAATTAGACCCATAACTTATATTTGTTTTATGAAGCAAGTGCTTTTAATGGATAATTCCTGTCACAGAGCTTTAGTACAGGAAATGCTAGATGAAGGCAGAAGTCATTATGAGATTCATGTACAATGTCTAACTAGCTCTTGGCTCTGGTAAAAGGGCACAACAGCAATCATGGTGTGAAAGAAAAGGTGTGCTAATTAAAAAAAAAAATTCCACAGGGCTAATGTTACTGGGGGTGAAGACTACATTTGTCAATCTGTAATACCACTGTAAAATAACAATGTATGAATAAAACAAACCGAGAGGCATAATTCTTACAATTCATATTCATACATCTATATATTATTGATATGTGATGATGATGATTATTATTTAAGCTTGAGGAAGGGTTCTGAAGTTTAACTACATGGATAATAAAGAGGCCTTGAAATTAAACAAATTCTTTATTGGGGCTTGTACATTAAAAGTTCAGATTTGAGATATTTACCACAAAAGACATTCTTATTCTGGTACTGGATTCATGGAATGAAAAATATAAGCTGGGACCTATAAGGTAGCAAAAGTTTAGAAGTTTCCAAACTGCTCCATGTTTCATCAACTTTCTTATACATGTATATCTATACTATACATACTTATATATTAAAAATTATTGAGTATTTTTTAACCGCTTCCGTGCACCCTATAGCAGAAATTACGTATATATAAGTGATTTTGTAGTTTCCGGTAGGGGGCTCAAGCCATTCACGGCCTCAGCTGTCAATCACCGGGTCCCGGATGGCGATTCCCTGCTAGCACCTGGTGATCTCTGAGTATTACCGATGGGGGAGAGATGTAAACAATACAGATCTCTCCCCTGTCAGCTCCTGCACATTGCTTTGTATGGCTCTGCATAGCAGAGCCATACAAAGCAGTGTGCTTTCAATGAAACACACACACAGCCCACATAGTAAAACAGCACACAGTTAACCCTTTGATTGCCCCACATGTTAACCTCTTCCTGCTTAGTGCCAATAGTACAGTGTCAGTGCATTTTATTAGCACTGATTACTGTATTGGTGTCACTGGGGATGTCAGTGACACCAAATCAGTTCCCCCCAATGTCAGATTGCCTGCCGCAGTCCTGCTATAAATCGCTGATCGCCGCCATTACTAGTGAAAAAAAAAAACAAATTCCAGTATTTATCGCCACCTGTAGATGCTATAACTTTCACGTAAACCAATTAATTTATACATTTTGAGATTTTTTTTTTTAGCAAGACATGTTCGCAGAATACATTTTGGTCTACATTTATGACAAAATTAGATTTTTAAAAGTTTTTTGCTGGACATGTTTAATAGCAAAAAGTCAAAAACATAGTTTTTTTTCCAAAATTGTCAGCCTTCTTTTGTTTATAGTGCAAAAAATAAAAACCGCACAGGTGCAGCGGTGGGTGCAGCGATTGTCAGTTAAAGTAATGCAGCGCTGTATCTCAAAAAAATGGTAAATCCCCTGGAGGGTAAGTGGTTAAAGTGAGGGAGTATGCCCCTGCATACCCCTGTCATGCCTACCTCTCTGTCTGCTCATGTCACCAATCTCAGATGTATTAAAGAGAAAGTGCTGCTCCAAATAATCTTCAGAGATATGACATTTTGGGAGAGTCAGATTCCTAAGGGAACTAATTATGTAGTTCTATTATAGTTTAAGTCTCTTTAAAATGTAATCACAAATCTGTCTTAAACCAACAACATAAAGGAACACCAGTATGAGCATACTCTACTAGTCGCAGGTGTCAATTCTTCTGTTTGTACTGTTGGGTTTACTATTTGTGTCTATGCATATGTAACACCTTAAGGGATACGTTCACCTTTTGGACAAAAATAATAAATGCACAATTTTTTGTAGGTAAAAAAATGTGCATTTATTATTTTTGTCCTAAGGAGCCTGTAAAGCATTACACCAGCGATCAGTAGATTGCTGGTGCCATGCAGGTCTCCTGCAGACCTGCCAGAATATCTGCTTGCCGGACGAGATGTGCGGTTAAGCAGATATACTGACAGGAAGCTTCAATGAACTACCACGACGTAGTTCATTGAAAACTACAAGCTGACAGCTGCTAAGGCTGCCAGGACTTGTAGGCACTCATTTATAGAACTCTGTGAATGAGTGACGCGGCCATGTAGGCGGAGCCCCACACGGCCACGCTATTTTCTTTTCAAATCTGACAGATAGTACGGGGGGGAGGGTTAGGAGGCGTGGCTGTGGCTATGGGAACATGTACACGTTCCTCCCTAAAAAAGGGATGAACATGTAACATATTTCCAATGGTGAATTTATCCTTTAAGGCCTCGTTCACACCAGTGTGCAGAGTTGTCAGTTTTTCTGCATGCGTTCTGGAAGGGCACAATGAAATCAATTGTTTTCTATGTATCCTGTTCGCACCACAACACTAGCATCATTTTTCCTATACACGAATCTGCAACATATATAAAACTCATTGCAGAGTGCATGAAAACTGATGCAAACTGATGTCTCTGAAAGTGAAATCTGCACATCAATTTCCATCAGTTTTTATGCACGTATGGTGTGAATGAGGCATTAAATCTTTTAAATAGGAATTTTCCCAAAAATTGTAATCACACAAGAGACACACTATTGATGTTCGGAGGTGTACTGTAGAATGTGTAAACCCTAAAGTTCGGTGGTAATAGGGGGCAGTGTAAGTAAAGTAGACTGGGGAACACATAACTGAAAGAAAAGGAGGGCATCCTCCGTAAATTTTATCTGTAGCATAGCACCAATTTGCATCTTTCTAATGAAACTATTTTATATAGCCAGGGATTCAGCTTACATTTCTTTTCTCAGTTGTTATAAATCATCATTAGTGTGACAGGATGCATTTAGCAGAGTTTATCTGTTCATATGTTACACTTCAGGCACATTTATGTGTATTATTTAGCAGTAGCAGTAATATTTGCGTAAGGTTACAAGTAAGATATGAATATGAACAATGGCAATTAGCAGGAGGTAATTAATGTTGTCCCAAGGCTGCTTTACACCTTCCAATAACTTGCAACACAAGATTCTTCCACTAATGGAATGGAAAGGAGAAGTATTCTGAAATCAGCACCTGAACGATCAGCAAACCAATAATTATATATAAAAAATATTTAGTATGTCATACAGTGACATAACAGAAAATACAAATTATGTAAATCAATTGTAAACATTGCCAAAGCCCAGTACAGACGTATCATAATTTGGCGGCTTCAGCAGAAACCTGATGAATTTCAGTTCATGTACACCGCTATCTGTTCAACCAGTCCGAAGACCAGCTTCTGTCAAGCAGCCCTGCTGAAAAGAAGGCCTTCAATCAGCACATGCAGCCAATGGCTGCAGCATCAACCAGTGTATTCTAATGGGGGAAGTCCATGCTTTGAGAATAAAATGACGCAGTGGGGAAGATTCCTGCATCCACATTGCTTATGTGGATGCAGGTATTTGTCAGTTTTTTTTTTCCGTTTAACCCGTGGGTTGAACAGAAAAGTACTCTATGTGTATACCCTGCTTTACCTAAACCATTTAACCATCTGAAATATTGATTAAAGAGCTGTGAAAGTTGTGCCCAAAAATGTAAATAGAGAGCAAAGAAGTAACCATCTGTGTTATTCATAGGTTGAACACATAAATGGCAATAGCTACAATTAATACATTTCTAACGTTTTAAAGTAAGGTGCCAATTTTGTTTTGACATACAGGAGGTCTTCAGCTACCATTGTGCTGTGCCGAACTTCTGGTGTGATTCTTTAACTGCTTCCCGAGTACCCTATAGCAGAACTACTGCTACATGGTGGTAGGGCTGTGCAAAATCACATACAGTATATATACGTGCTTTTGTACTTCTGGGGATGCGGCGCGCATGCCCTACCCACACTGCCATTGGGAGGGCAAGTGGTTAAAGTGGAACTAAAGCTGAAACATAAAAAAACTGCAAAGAGACAGGCTCTTTTTTGCTGAAGTGTCAAGCATTTTCTCTTTTGCAATAAAATACACTTACCTGCCAATTTGTAATCCTCTGTAGAATGTACACTGCAGGCACAACTGCAGCTGGATCAACTGTGGGTATAGAATTATAACTTTTTTTTTCTTTTTTTTAATGGTTGAACTGGATGGACTTTTGTCTTTTTTTCAGCCAGACTAACTATGTAACTATGTAGCATAATTTACATTCTGGCACAGTGCCTGTGTGCAAGGATGACTGCAGTCCAGTGCACATGCATGGGAGTGACATCATCCCACGCTGGCCAATCAAGACAGAAAAAAACCTGCAAAGTAAGGTGCCAATTTTGTTTTGTTTGCAGGATATGGTGCAGAGACGTACAAGAGGTCTTCAGCTACCATTGTGCTGTGCAGAACTTCTGGTGTGATTTTTTAACCGCTTCCCGATCACCCTATAGTAGAACTACTGCTACAGGGTGTTAGGACTGTGCAAAGTCACGTACAGTATATATACGTGATTTGGTATTTCTGGGGATGGGGCGCTCATGTCCTACCCACGCTGCCATTGGCGGCTACAGCTGTTGATCACTGGGCCCCGGCCGGAGGTTTCCTACCGGCACGCTGCGATCACCAAGGAACACTGACGGGAGAAGTCTGTATGTGAACAATACGGAGAAGTCTGTATGTGAACAATACGATCTCCAAGGAACGCTGTCTTTTTTTCAGCAAGACTAACTATGTAACTATGTAGCATAATTTACATTCTGGCACAGTGCCTGTGTGCAAGGATGACAGCAGTCCTGTGCATGCATGGGAGTGACATCATCCCACGCTGGCCAATTAAGACAGAAAAAAACCTGCAAAGTAAGGTGCCAATTTTGTTTTGTTTGCAGGATATGGTGCAGAGATGTACAAGAGGTCTTCAGCTACTATTATGCTGTGCCGAACTTCTGGTGTGATTTTTTAACCGCTTCCCGACCACCCTATAGCAGAACTACTGCTGCAGGGTGGTAGGACTGTGCAAAATCACGTACAGTATATATACATGATGTTGTATTTCTGGGGATGGGGCGCTCATGTCCTACCCACACTACCATTGGCGGCTACAGCTGTTGATCACTGGGCCCGGCCGGAGGTTCCCTACTGGCACTCTGCGATCGCTGAGGAACAACATGGGCTCATTAGCTGGCCACTTCAGAACTCTCCAGCCTCTTTTGCATCCATTTCTGAGTGTCTTTTTGAGTATGTTTGGGGTCCATTGGGCTGGAAGGACCCAGGATCTGGACGCAAAACCCAGCTTCTGAGTCTGTATGTGAACAATACGATCTCCAGGGAACACGGTCTTTTTTTCAGCAAGACTAACTATGTAAACTATGTAGCATAATTCATTCTGGTACAGTGCCTGTGTGCAAGGATGACTGCAGTCTTGTACATGCATGGGAGTGACATCATCCCACGCTAAGGAAGACAGAAAAAAGAAAACTTCACAGGCCTCGGCCACAGTTGGAACTAAGGTAAGTATTTTTGGCTTTAGCTCTGCTTTAAGGATGAAATACATGGGAGGTGGTGATTTTTCTACGCTTGCCAGTATTTACTGTAAATGTGCCTAACACAGGTCCTACCCCCGTTCCCATGTGAACACTGTCTACTTGATATTACAAAGGATGTACACTCTGGCCATACATACTGGGCGCTTGTTAATTATTTTTAGATGAAATTATTTAAATATATAATGATTTTTACACGTAAAATGTTTTTCAGTTGTTACCTTGCAAGTAATAGTTTCCCTTTTATATGTAAGTAATCATGTGGGAACTATGATCTGGTGATTAAAGCAATAATATTTAACTTTTGCAGTGTACACTACACACACACAAATATTTATGATGATATGCGTAAGGGATGAAAAGGGCGCCATTCC